TGAAGCACCCAGCGAAAACTCATTTTGCAGTGGAGTTAGCCAATGGGAACATTCATCAGAACGCTACAGCCAGCAGAAACTAAAAATGCAGAGCCACTGTCAGTAAAATAGAAAAGTTCTCTTACAACCGAGTCATGCTAAAGACAGACACAAAAGCCATATTGTCCCTTCCTTCAGTAAGAAGGTGCCCCTAATCTCCTCCTCGTCCCCACTCGGCCCCGGGTCCCGCACGCGAGCGTCTCTCAGACGGACACGCCACCTATCAGCAGCGATTTCAGTGGCACAAACCACGCCACCCGAGCGATGTCTCTCCTGAACTTGTGGCAGCCGATGCCCACAGAAAAACCTGCAACACGTGAAAATAGAAGAGTTAGTGAGTGTGTGTGTGTGTGTGGGGGGTCGGGTAGTGTGGAGCTCAGAAAATTGCATCTGGCTCAGGTGGCATAATATCCACTTATCCACACCTACAATGTCTGGATATTCATGAGAAACCTATAGAGATTAATTTAAATATTTGTTCCCCACAATTACTAGCTGTTAAAAGGAAACTCTGCTCAGTTTGGGAACTAGAACAGAATGTATGATAACAGCGCAAAATGGCCTCCAGTGCCTGACACACACTTGGTTTCATGTGTGTGCGTGAGATTATACGGAAACTGGTGTGACTCGACCTAAAACGCACGGAACCACAGTGTGTGTAACTGTACATTCCGTAGGAACCGCAGAAGTACATACTGCTAAACTGAAACAGATGTGATAACTTTCTTTTTTTTGTTTAAATATTCCTGCAAGTAGATTAATCTGGCATTTGCGACTGAATGTCATTTGGCCAGTTGCAGTCGTGTAATAATTCCAAAACTGCCCTTAAAAAATATTCCCAAGAACTACTGTGAAATTACTTAATCACTATTATGATGCTGCTACCGCTATATTTAGCTAGTATTTTAGGTGGAGCCTTGATAGGTGCTATTCTTCTCAAATGGCCACCAGACAAAGCTGAGATTCCAAGAACATCACACAACCAGTATCTCATCATATATCTGATAACCCACAGAAACCTTCAGTCGGGGGAAATATATTCCATATCGGTGCTGTTTACACTACACCCAGTCCGCTCTCACAAAAATTAGCTGTACTATACACTGGTCTGAATATTGTATTTCACTTTGTCACCATAGCATCAAGCGAATTAGTTCATATTAGGGAGATCAGACACGGACGGTCAGCATCTCACCGCCTGTTCCTGTTCACATGACGACTCACAGCCTAGAGCCCCCACAGGACAAACCAAGTCTTCAGTATTTTATTACACAGCAACCTACTTGGGTATAATAATCATATATCAATCAGCATAATCTAAACCAGAACAAAACACCACAATTGGTGCTGCCTTTAATGAGCAATATCAATGATATATTTGGCCACCGGCGATAATTCTGTTAATTCTTTTATTAAACTGTTGACCCATTGACGGCCTGTGGTATTACCCGTATCTCCCTCTGGGTGGTCCACTTTGGCTGATGCCAGGCGGGCACATACTGGGCCGAACGTCCGGAGTTCTAGCACAAGTCAGACTGCTTTTTTTTTGTTGTGTTGAAGTCCAAAGGTGTGGATACTATTAAGACCCTGCCTTGTTGATTTGAGTCACGTATCAATTTAGAAACCAGCAATGTGCAGTTAGAGTCAACAGCCTATAGATACTGCCTTCGCATAAACCTGACCGCACTCAATATTGAGGCTCCCCCCCATAGGAGCTCAGTAGATGGAGCACTCTCCACCTGCCTGCCCCTGCCACCAAGTGAAACCAGGGGTACAGCTGGACCAATGACAAAGGCTTATCCTTCCACCCCCATGCAGTATCTAACGGTGTTCGATCACAAAGCCTCAAATTCTCCCAAGAAATCACCCAGGAATGGTGTACAAACACAGGCGAGGAGAGCAACACTGCATCCTCTGTCTTAGGAGACAACCCCCGGTGCAGGGTTTTATTATTATTTTTTTTTTTTTGGAAAAGCAGAAGGAAAATCAATATACTCAAGTGCAAGGCCTGTGATGGCATTGGTAATCCACTTGCTGCATTAATGTTTCAGGCGCTGAGGGAGAGGCCTCGTCTACGCAAGGCCGGGGCTCCTAAGAGGACCCTGGCCTTTGGTTTCCCTCCAAAACAGAATACGCAAGTACCAGTCTGTTTAAAGCGGAGGCCGGTTATTATGAAAATCATTTGATGCTTAATCCGCTGATATCATTTGCCTTGAAATTCCTGCCACTCGGAGAGTTTGTCTAAGACAGTCCTTGTACTCATTTTTATTTTTATATATGTTTATTTATATATAATGTTATTTACGTCTTGTACACACAGCTAGCTGTAAAAAGTTCAGAAACCTATAGGCAAAGGTGCAAGTCAGAATTCAGGCAGGCGGCAGGCAGTCTCAGAATCCGGGACGACAGCCTGAACAAGACGGACAAAAGGGCGAGGGCGGGGGGGGGGGGTAGAAGAAAAAAACCGCACAAGCAGCAGGTCGCTTTAAGATTTAAAGGAAAAAAAATTCTGGAATGATTTTGTGCCTGTAACGGCTAGGCACAGCTAGCCTCTGGATATCGCTCCCCAGCAGCCAAGGGGAGTACGGCGTGCGGTGGAACGGGACCAGAATCCTCCCAAGACACTGAATCATAATCGCTAAACTTTTTAGGCATTTGGTGTTTATGCCACAGCTCGACATTGCTATCCCGTGACATTAGGAGACCATAAATCAGCCGTGCGACAGCTCCCTTGTAGAGGCTGGTACGGGCGGAGGGGGCTGCCACTGCATACACCCACGGCCCCCAGCCAGATGTGCGCTCCGAAACCCCAGCAGCATTAACCACTTTGACACCGCTAATGCCTTTGTTGATGCTAAAATATTCACTCTGCCTCCCTGCTACGGTATGCGCTTTTTCCACCGGAAAGCGAGGAGGGGAGAAAGACAAGACAACTACATACAACATAATGGTTTCATTGGCGTCTTTGGATCAGTTTTATCGAAAAATCCAACACATCCCACGGGAGTAAAAGCTAGTGAAAATATATGGATACGACACTGACGTTAATAATGCTGAACACAATTACAAACAAGTATCAATAATTTCTATATTGCTTTGTTCAAATTTCACCTTACTCCAAGGCCATTGATGCGGATTTATCTCTATGAAACCAGACAGTTTAAGGGCAAAACTAGACCAGAATCTCCTCTAATGATTAGCGCTGAATATTTATTTATTCATGCAATGTGATTAATTTGCTCTTGGTTATTAACCACAAATTAACTACAAGCTCACCAGTTATGCATCAAGTTAAAGCGCGACTGTTTAAATGTAATGCATGAATGCAAAAAAAAGGAGGTGGGAGGATCTTGTCAGGTTTTAAACAGCCCGAGTTCGCAATATCAGGTATAAACTGAATAAATCAGGTGGTGCTCATCAACATGCTGTCTAACGGGCAGCTTAAATCTATTTTTTACGAGCTTTTTGAAGGGGTCAGGATGAGGGAAAAATCAAAACAGTCATTAAGCAGAGCTAGCGGCAGTAATCAAAACTGGGAAATTTTCTGACTAACTTTTCATGGACGCGCCGCTTCAGTTGGGAATGTTTGGGTAACGGGTCTGAAATGAGTCAACAGGAAACCAAAAAAAACGTCACTATTCCAAAGCAAAGGATGGCCATTGTGATGACACGATCATTTTCAATAATTATTATTACTAATCTCTTTTAAAGCACCCTACCAGTGTTAACAAGCTCATGGCCTGCATCTTGCCTTTCTTACGAATGTACAGGATCCCAACTGCAGCCTAAACGCACCCGGATCCAAAACTCTAGTTCTATTCTTATCTAATCAGGTCAGTCATTAACTACAATTAAGGGCTGTCATACTGGTTAAAGTCTTGCGGTGATCAGGTGTTGGAGTGGGCCAGTCCGTATATACAGCTTCACCAACAATTAAAAGTGAACTAAGCTTTTTAAACGTACATTAACCCCAACATATACATACAGATCGATAATCCTTCTGTTTTTGTATTATAGAATCATCTGTGTATTATAGTGGATAAGCTGTTGGAAGATGGATGAATAAAATATATATCTACTAGAACTAGATCTATACGCTTACACGAAAAAAGCAAATTAGCCACCTAACAATTTTTGTTTTTTTAAAAAGCTAAATGAGTGAATGACCGCGGGGAAAAAAAAAACTTTGTCCATGTGCCAAATAAAATACAACATACTATGAAAACAAACTGGACAGTACTAGTAAGTCGATTTTTGCCTATAGAGAGAAATTAATATGATTATTTTTAAGTGTATTTAAACGTGCTAGCGACCCTGGCCAGGATAAGCGTTTGGAAGATGGATGAACAGCGCACCGAGCGCTGCCGTGACTCTAATCACTGAACCAAGCCACCTTAAAGGGGGTCTCCCTCACTTACTTCAAGTAAAGTTTTGAGAAAAAGAAATTATTTAAACCGTGAATAAAATTAACTATGAAAACTTAATTACTTTCCTGCATTACGACTTAATCTTAAGGACTGGAATGTGAGTCAATCTTTTATTTGTGCATCTTTTGGTGATTAATTTAGCGACACGCACCTCCGACACTGTACATACACACGCAAATATATATAAAGATATCCCTCGGAAAAGTCAAGACTAGTTTTTCTTTTCATGTTAACAGAATAAGTCCTGACAAGTGATGACTAGTTTCCCTTTTTATGTCAAGAGAAAAAAAGGGGCTTGCAAAACCTGGGTCAGGCTGTATAAATTAACACACAGCACCAAGAAAACCAATGATGCAACGGAGTTTCAGGCAGCCGCTTACACTTAGTTACCAATTACTTTGCATTAAGATAAATAAATTACATAAACTATCGGACGCACACGCCACGCACGGGAGCACTTTAATTCTCTTTTGTACTTGGTGTGTTTTGCACATGTAGTAAATTCAATTAAGATGACTAAGTTACTTACCGACGCCATCTTCCTCCTAATCAGTGTATTGCTTTAAAAGATCGTCGCCTCTGGACAAAAAAATAAACGTGCGCCCGAATTGCATGGCGCGTCCTTTAAATCTCAGCGGGGTTCAGTTCCGCTGCGGGTCTAAGGTGCCGTTTAGGGACGGTGCGCGGGGGGCAGCGAGGTGCGGCGGGCCGGTCGGCGTGACAGCGCGCCTGTCGTCCGCCGCTTGTCGCCGATCAGGAGAGGCGCCTCGGGAGAGACACGTATCAGGTACCCATTGCGCCGCAAACACCTGTAGGCTCATTAAGAGCCGTCGCTAATTCGCCTCCCCCGAAGTGACAGGCATGGCCGGACACCCCCACCCCCGACGGGGCCGAGTGACACTGTGTTCGCCTGGTTTGGCGGCCTTTCGGCAGCTTCCATTTGCATCGTTTTTCTTTTTTTTTTTTGCAAGACTAATTTAAATTAAATATCCGAAAACCACGAGCATCATTCATTAAAAAACGCAGTGTCACTTCCAAAAACGCAGTGTCACTCCCGAGAAGGTTTAGAGACACAAACAATATAAATTAATCATCACATGACTAAAATAACGAGGAAGTCCAGTATAAATTATCGATCAAATTTATTAACATAGTTCAAGCTATTCAAACAATTACATTTCATTTATGTTTTTTATTGCATCACAATTATAGTGAATGAAGGCACAACGTTAGAGGGAAATCACGTGATTCTGAGCTGCCGTCTGAGTTGCCCCATGACCGCCCTCTCCCTTCTGTTCTTCCGATAAAGTAACATTTCTGTTGCTCAGGCATAATTCTTTGCTTTTGAGGTGACATGCTCAGAGGGAATAGAGTCCCCTCCCCCGTGCAAGTGGGGGCGACGTACTTGTGTCTTTGGACACGTTCAGACGTAGCCGATTGAGAACCTTGCCCCATTCGTCGTCTCGATGTCTCGCCTCATGTAGACAGAAACGAGGCACGTCTTCATGCCCATGGGCGGAGGGGAGGCTGGGTGCTTTACTGCGGCGTTTAACATACTCTTCGGGACAGCGATGTGAGGAGATCATATGAAGATCTCATAACACACCTGGGAGAGCAGAGAGCTGAAGATGTTGCCGAAGCTGGCGGTAGACCTCGAAAATAAGCCCCGAAGAGACAGCGTCCTTCTGGGCATTGTGATCGTGTCTGTTCTGCTGTCTGAAGAGGATTTTTCCTGTTATTGTGTCGCCAGTATTGTAAAGGTCTTGTGTTACGTCCACATTCAGGGCCTTCGCAGAAAGCAGCCGACCTTCATCTTTACATTCATTCGTTTCCCTCACTGCTTCAGCGTGGAATTGTGGTGGCGGGTATTTTGTTTCCCACCCGAAGAAAACACAGATCATAAATGTGTAGTGTAATTAAAATGGCCAGACCGGGTTAATTTGTGACGGATCGCGATAACACAGGTCCCTCATTCCTTTCCAGAGCATTCAGGCAGCACTTAGAGCCGTCTGGACACACGGTTTAAATCACGCCGTTGTGACTGAAAAGGCTTTGTTGTGGACTGAGGAGATTCAGGACTCTATTTACCAGAGCTTGCCTGCCCACTCGCAGGCACTCACGGGCATACAGGAGGACCACCAGCCCGCCTCGAAGGAGCTTCTAGGTCTTGTGGCCTTGCCGTTCTTTAGGTGACAGTATCGATCCTTTGGCCGCGCGCTGTAATTCCTCCTCCCTGAACTCTTCCCCCTCAGCACCCCCTCGAGGCCGCCCCATCTTCCCACGTAGCCCTTTAGCCTTGCATCTGCGCCACCTCACCCATGCGTGGGCCGGCAGGCGGCCGCGGCGTGTCCACCAAGGTCCGCAGCACGGCCGGGGGGCCGGGGGGGGGGCGGCGAGCGGCTCCCAGACATGCCGCATAATCTCACACGGCGAAAAAACCGGCGCTGCCGGCAAGTCAGACTACAGTAATTAAAGCGAGCCAGCTCCTCGTCGCCCCCGGCAACGGCAACAAAAAAAAATGCAAGTTTTAACTCCTCCCAGAAATAAAAAAAGAGAGATGTGGGAGACAGCGTCCCCCGGTGACAGCGGACCCGGCGGGGAAACACTCTCACTGAGACTGTCGAGCACCGGCAGCGAGCCCCTTCCCGCGAGCCCGACCGCTCCGACGGACGTGTGCGCTTTGCAAAGCACCATTTGTCAACACCATCCCCGAAAGTGAAGTAATTATTATTCTTTTGACTGTCTAAATATGGTCTTTACCCAAAGCGCCCAAAAAGAGGCTACCCCGTCTGTCTGCCCGTCCTTCGTAATTAGAGAGCGCGTACACCGTTGCACATCTAAACGCACTCACCCTGTGATCTAAGCCCTGTGGTTTTTCTTTTTCTAGCAAGGTGCAGGCTGTCGGGGGCAAGAGTGAGGGGATCCTTTACTGCATGCCCGCGAGGCGCTCGCTGTGACACCCTTCCTCAGGGGGGCAGCAGTGAGGTGCTCACCCTGATGTCATTCCTTAGTGCTTCATGAATAGAATGGGCTGACGTAGCAATCGCTGCATGCATTCATCCATTACCTTAATACCTCTGCAAGCGGCCTCACTGCAACGCCATTCGCCAGTCCCTAATTGGGGGGCCCTGAAGTGCATCCCCGGCCCCCCCCCACCGGTTTGGTTCCCTCATGCCGCCCTCTCGTGGGGGCTTGGCGTCCACAGTTAAACATGCGCCTCCGCAGACGTGTCATGTGCTGTACATCAGAAAGGATCAGCGACCTGGTCCGAAAATCACATGACCGTGGATCAGAGGCCCGGCAAGTAACAGGTCAGTGGACTTTGTGTGTGTGGGGGGAGGAGGGGGGAGTCTATACAAAAAATAAAAATGATCTGCTTTGAAAGGAGGAAACATAGAGACACAGCCTTCGGTATTTAACCTTTGCTGGATATCAGTTCCGAACTCCAATGATTTGCCATATTAAGACATGAAGTTCTTAATTGTATACATTTTTAAAATTCAGTGATTATCTTTGTACATATTGCCACACAACCCTAATGTCTGTATTTGTGTTCACTCTCTCTGCATTATGACGCCTCGGCCAACGATGAAACATTCTGGTAGATTTGCGGGGCATTTGGCCTCTACATGCTCAGATAAAAGGACCGTCGCCTATCCGTCACTGTCCCCACCCTCGTCCACCTGGCCGAGGGGACACTTTAAATCTCTGGATGGAGGCCCACGTGTTCCTGAAAGCTCCCGCCGCCCGCAGCACTCTGGGCTGCCGCACACATGCCACTTCCTGCCCCTAGAGCCCCCCAGAGCCTAGAGGAAGCACGCACTTCCTGTGTCCATCATTCCTGCCACCCCGTAGGTCAGACCTAAATGTGACTTATGGGCTCTCCTGGAGCGACACTGCTCACCAGCTCAGAGTCATGTTTTCACAAGCCTAAAATAAACAGGCGGAGTAAGTCGTGGGTTGGGGGCCTCACTGCGTCGGGACGGGGCTGCAGCCTGGGTGTCATGTTGGCAGGGACCCTCTAGCCATTCAGGTTTGGATTTGCAGGAATCAGAGTTTCTAACTGCGGGAATTCCGTGAGGCTGGTGGGAATCCAGTTGTTTCGGCTAACAGCAAGTAAAACGCTACGTTTCCCAACGCCGGAACCATTTGTTTGAGGAGCTCTGCCACGAGAGATTTCATTTTAACGTTTCCATCGGGTCCTTTTTAGCCCGATTCTGCATGTTGCAATATACGGCGTAATAACGTCACGGTATTTCAGCCATGAACGCATTGATAAGTGAACCGGACCTGAGCAGCCGTGCTCAAAGCACCACGTATTAATGAATTTCAAGCTGCTTGCCTCTGTCTGTCAGTCAAGTCAAATATATTAGATTACCGCCTGTGGGTGATGAAGTCGATATCCCCTCAACATCAATGGTGCACTTTTCCGGCGGACCGCTGCAAACTTTTGTGTGTTTGGCCGCCTGTGTGCACAATGCGCAGAGCAGGGATGGAGCCTTGCTAGCCTCTTACGTCAACTCATCTATCCAGCATTTAACCATTTTTACTCTGCCAATATTTCTCCTCATGCAAATATAAATTAATAAAATATTTATTGGATACGATTGAATAGGCATCTTGTCCAGAGAGGGCTCTCTGCTTTATGGGAGAGGTTCGCCGCTATAAGTGGTGTAGAAGATGGATGGACGGATGGATGGACAACGAAAGAGCTGGAATTTTCACCTGGAATTCCGAAAGCATCTTCATAAGCTAATACAGTTCTTATGAGATAGTCATCATTAAGCCGAAATCCACACCCCAGCTCATAAAAATATATAGAAGGAACACAAAAGCAAATATCCCTGATCAATGTGCTCTTGCGCTCTGAAAATAAATAGCAATAATGCAGCAATTACCTGCAGCTGAGACACGCATCTCTGAATTCCCTGCGATGAAGTATTCAGTGCAGGATTCATGCTTAGGGGGGGTCAGTGGTAAACGTGTAGTGCAGCTTTGATGAAGGAGTACCTCTCTCTAGTCTGCGCGTTACTCCGAGGAAGGAGGGATGACGGAGACAAGCAGGAACGCCGTCAAGATAAGGGGCAGCTGTCCTGACAGCCCTGTGTTCGGGTTAAACATGACGGCACACACAATGGAGACGGGGAACTGGGCCCCCGCTTTCCCCCATCCCCCGCCTGCGTTTCGGCCCTCACCGGGGCTCGCAGTGGATCTCCCAGAATGCCCAGTGGGCATGGTGCTGCTGGCGTGTTGCCTGGCTGTATCTTCAGATAGCTTAAAGCATTTTTAAAATGTATTTTTCACGAGGCGAAAAATCAATAGAGTTGGGAGGCCAGAGAGCGCGAGCCGACGAAGCCTTTGCTGGCGGCGAGGCTCTGTGAAGCGGGCGGCAGGCAGGCGCGTCCGGGGTGCGGGGAAGTCTGCAGATGCGCACCTCTCCCTTTCAGCGACGGGGGAGATGTCTCCGAGGCGATGAGTTCGGGCTGAGGTGAGCTCTGCCTGCCGACACCTTCCGATAGCTAAAAAAGTACTATCCCTGCGTACTGCCCCATCTGACATCTAATCTCCTGGCTACGTGCTGAATGCACCACAGGAGAATACGGCCGGCGTAAATATGGCTGAAAGAGTGGAGCTTTTAATTATATATGTTCTCGAGATGGAGCTAAAGTTATAGAGCTGAGGTCCGGTAATTGGGTGCATTCTGGGAAACTAAAAAACATAAAAGGAAAAATGCAATCCTGGGCCTGACCCAATGGCTTTACATGTTTGTGTGATATTGCGCTGACCTCACGCAGCGGGGGGTCAGGGTATGGAATTGCGGCGCGAACCGGCAGGCCATGCCCGGCATTCTGCTCCAAGATGCGGCAAATTCGCTTCTCTTCCGAGTGCATGGGTGGAAGGGAGGGCCATGTTTTTGGGGCTGCTTTTGCCCTCTTCAGGGGACTTGGGTGGGGGGGGGCAGAGGGGCATCGAAAGAGAAGTTATAGAGCTTAGTTGCTGAGCTGGAGTGGCAGGTATGGGTCAGGGGGGCCAGGCGGGAAGGTCCACGTTCGGTGTTTCTCTAACACGCTCAGAGTACCCAGCATGCATTGCTGTGGACTCAGCGGGAGCCTGCCTGACTGAGCTGTCTGGGGACTAAGCGACTTGCCAAGCACAGTCGGAAAGGAACATCTGCGTGACAGGTCTGAGTCAGGCTTCCACAAAACCCTGAAGGTAGCTCAGTATGGAAACTGCCATGAGAGAAGTCTGTGTAATCTATGTAATAGGTATTGATCAAACACACTCTTATAGGGCTCTTTGTGTGTTTAATTCTGTTAACAATAGGAGGTCCACGCCATCTGTCTCCAGTAATTGTGCATAATTTGCGAGTTTACATTTCATTGCTGATGGAGACTTCTAGAAAGACGGGCATGTTAAGGACTCACACATGGAAAATGAACAGAACTGTGCTCTGTTGCCTTACGGTTACGTGTGCCTCTGTGAGGGATGGCGGGACCCTGGGGCTGGGGTGGGGAGCAGGGGGACAGGGGTCAAAGGTCAATCATATGGCAGCAATGAAAGAAATGACCTACTCCGTGTTTTCGCCGTTGCGTTTCAGAGAGCGGCACTCCCACACTTTAACCTAAAGTACAAGCATACGCTGCGGGGGAGAAAGAGACCCCCCCACAAAGACACAGTCGGCGTGTGGTGAAGGCTCACATCCCACCCAGCTTCCCCTGTATCTGCTGCTGCTCCTGTTCCAAGCCGCAAGCCGTCGATTTGCATCCCGTCCCATCGCCGCCCAACTTCGGTGGGCCTCCCCTTTTCCCGACATAATTGCCATAAAAGTCATTTAGGCAAAATTATTCAGCACGCCGGCTCCAGAACTGCCCGGTTCCCCGCGGGCCGAGAACCTTATGGGTCAGACATACTTATAAAGCCATGTTCATTTCATGGGAATAACAATTCCCTCGGCGTTGAAGCATGTGATCGGTGTTAACCATGTGTACATCAGTCCATTAATCTGCCCCCACAGCATATGTCCTCCAAATGGATTAGTCACAAAAACCAGCCAATCACTATTTTTAGGCACGCTCCTGTGCGCGCCTCTAAACGCGAGGAAAAGTAAATATGTTTTATCTTATTTGTCAAGTTTTCTGTTGCAGGTTTACATCGACAGTTTAATTGAAGTTTTTCCTAATGCTGTCAAGGGTCATTTCATCACAGTGCCAGAAACCCACTTGGAAAATGCATTTTTTACTCCGAAAGCCAGATCAAAGGGTAGGTTCTGAGATCAAAGGCCAGTATCGCGCGGCTCTGGCCGCTGTGGTGTTGTTTACATGAATGCTAAAGGCACTTATATCAAATAATTTCAACTTTAAAATGTATGTCTTGTATTGGGGTATTTTGATGTCACTTCTGAAGTACTTCAGTGCATCAGGGAATAATTTTGATATGACCGAAAAATACCAAGTTTGGCAAGTCAAAGCAGAAACACATGCACTATTATTTAACAAAGTATCGGACTTCTGGAAAGTGCCATCACAGCCCTATTGCGGTCGTCCAGAGATGCCCTTGCCTTGGAGCTGTCGTAAAAACTCGTCTGCAGCCTGTCTGTCTCTGTCTGTTCTTCTCTGTCACCATCTCTGTGTCTCTCTCTGTTTGTCTTTCTGCATTTCTGTCTGTTTCTCTCTCTTTTTGTCTGTCTCTGTCCCTCTCTGCCTGTCTCTGTTTCAGTCTCTGTCTTTGTGTCTTTCTCTCTCTCTACCTGTCTGTCTGCTGCATTTCCACCCCACGTGTGATGGCTCCTGTGTCTGTCTGCAATCTACATGTGAAAGGGGATTCAGCAGGACGAGCCCTCGGCTTCCTCACCCACACGCTGTGGAATCTCCATGTTGCTCCCACCCGGCCGTTAAGCGATTTTGAGATAGTGAGGTTTTTTCTTTGTTTTTGTTAAATCAGCGGTGTCTCTCATCGCCAGGGTAACCCCCACCTTGTCTTCCAGAGAGAAAGCCAGTGGCCTGCACATTTGACTGGGGAGTGTGTGTGTGTGTGTCTGTGTGTCTGTGTGTCAGTGTACCCCATCAGCCTATGAACTTTGACACTGAGGCATTTGTGGAGATAAGTGTGGAGGGGGACTGTTCACTTCTTCAACAGTTAGTGGCAGTCCGAGCTGTCTGTCTGTCTGAGCTGTCTGTCTGTCTGAGCTGTCTGTCTGTCTGTCCGAGCTGTCTGTCTGTCTGAGCTGTCTGTCTGTCTGAGCTGTCTGTCTGTCTGGCCGTTGAGACTCGAGGGCCTGTGGGTTCAGGTCTCTGTGGCCGCCACTTGCCCTCCCCCCCTGCTCCCCCCCTAAGAGATTACAGTGGGGGTGCATGTAGCAGCCTGGGACTGGCTGGGAATCGCTTCATCTCCTAAATCACAGGCGTTCCCAAAAGGTCCTTTTTTCAAAGAAGCTCCCTCAATTTCGATTGGGCGTCCTGAAGACCCCTTGAGGTAAATTTGATACACATTTGTGGCTGTGCTGCGTTGCTACACCATGACCAACACGGTGCACCTTTTGTATGACCAGAGTTTGCTGCAGTAATTGTTTCCAACATACGGTTCTCAACCAAAGCCTGAAAGGAAGGGCTTGTGACATAAAGCTTTTTATAGTACAGGATACTGCATTTTTGGACTCACTTGGAAAATGATCAGCGTCTGCTTTTATAGCCCTTATTTCCTGTGATGTATGAGGTTTAAACTCAGTGATATGCTTTTTAAATCCATTGATACACACTTATTTTGCTAGCTTATTTCAGTCCATAGTCATACACTTAGGTCATAGATTTATTTTATAAATGCACATTACAGGCTTATTTTAGGCTATAACTAAATTATCGGTGCTATCCTTCAAGTGGACAGAGACATGATGGGGTGCTAAAACGTGCACCGTTGGTAAAGGTTAGCACACCTAGCCGGTAGCACGCGGAGCCGCGCTCTGACAGTGCCATTGTTGGGCTAATACCACGAGGCAGCTCCCTGCTCCGAGGGCCGCCTCCGCGTGATGGCCAGTTTGCTTGCGCCGTGCTCAATAGCAGAAACATTTGAAGTGTAAACTAACGCATATCTGGCTACTCTCAGTTGTCATGCCGGAGTTCTGTGGTTCCGTGAGACGGCCGATTTGGTCTGACGCCGCGGAGCCCCAAGCAAACGGAATAAACCCAAGGCTGTTAAGGGAACCGGAAAGGTGGCACGACGCATCGGGTAACTTCCATGCGCTGGCCTCCGCCCTGCGGTGGCGCCGTGTGCCGGATTACCACAAAGCTGTGACCCCGATAGGAGCCGGCTGGCTGCTGTGTGCCTGCGAGCGTTTTAGCGGGATGCCTAACAGGCGGGCAGTCCCTGGCCCAGTTCTCCCCAGCCCGGTTCTCCCCGGCTTGGTTCTCCCTGGCCCAGTTCTCCCCGTCTTGGTTCTCCCTGGCCCTTTTCTGCCCAACCCGGTTCTCCCCGGCCCGGTTCTCCCTGGCCCAGTTCTCCCCGACCCGGTTCTCCCTGGCCCTTTTCTCCTCGACCCGGTTCTCCCCGGGCCGGTTCTCCCTGGCCCGGATCTTCCTAGCCCGGTTTTTAAGCTGCTGACTTGGCAGCCCTCAGAGATGCATGTGCTGCTGTCTGTGAGCTGGACTGACGGGCTGCACATTGACAGACAGCCTTACCGATTCCATTCTTAATTCATAAGTGGGGGAGAAACGACCTACCGGAAAAAGAAATCCCTAAAATAAATAGTAGAAACACAGAATACAACATTAATCCTTAAAAATCTACTTGAAACAAATTGCACAAATATTAATTTTTATTCCAAAAGGTGACACGTGTATTTTAGTGTATTAGCCACCATAATCTCTAAATCCTTTTAAAATGATTCATTTTAATAATAATTTACTTGTCGACTACATGTGATAGATTATATTTTTTAAACCAAATACTGGTTTGATTTTATTTAAAAAAAATAATAATAATTCAAATAAACCTTTCCATATGTTTTCTCAGACTATACAGCACACACATGTAGATACAGTATATACTGAATTCTGAACAAAAATCTGCTATCCCAGTACGGATGGATTTAGGTAAATGTCCTTCAGTCCTCCAGAAAATAATTACATCCTGGGGAGGGACATGGCAGTGCTCTCTTCCTTTAGGTGCCCTGATGGCTGTCACACCATAACTACTTTCGGGGGCATTAAAGAGTCCTTTTGGTCTCACACTCGTGAGCGTCGTCTTGAAATATTAAGCATTCTTACACATCTGTTTTTTTGCATTAAAGCATGTTTTGTGTAGTGCTTAGGAATATTAAAGCATAATTTATATTTCAAGAGTTGGACTCCTTGACATCCTGGCACCTCTGTTTTGAATTTCAGCATGTGGTTTGACACGTTTATATTAATAATATTGTGATCTCTGAAGGCTTTGGCCCCAGGCTACTTGAACAAGACTACTAAAGAAAAGGATTTCAAAAAGAATTCTAGAGCAGTCTTGGGATTCGTCAAACAAGTCCCGGTACTTTCTCCCGATGAAAATCCATTACACACAAACATGTCAAAGCCGGGGGATGGTTATCATTGACTGTGTTTTTTGGTGCGTCTGATGTTTCTTTATAGTGTTCCCCGTTATTTGCCGCACGACGTCGGGAAGCCGGTACCGGTTGTGACACTCCGAACTTGAAGCACCGCAGCCGGTGCCACTTAGCGCAACGAAGGTGAGTCCGACACTTTTTGCTCTCTCTCTCTATCCGAGGCTGTGCACACCGGCTCCGTTACAGTGCGGAGGGGTATTTCGGAGGTCACTGCAGGTTTCCGCCCATTTCGATCTGCAGCCTGGAGACATCTGAGGTCTGGTCCACTCCGCATAATGACCTTCCGCCAGGGATCTTTAGGGCAAAGATCATCGTCATCGTATGAAATTAGAAATAAAAATAAATTGTGTAATGAAAATGATTTGGAGCTGTGACTTCAGATCTGAGGATCACAAAAAGGAAAAAATAACAACGATTAGTTTGGGGGGGAGACTGATATCCAACACACGATACTGGAGCACACTTCTACAGCAAGATGCAATGGTCAGTAGAAGTTAAAGTGGCTTTTATTCATTGATTTAAATTCTATTAAGTCATTTATAGTCATACTACACCATGCAGAATGTTAGATGTCAGACTATTGACAAATAGGCAGCACACAGCAGTGTGTGTGAGTGTGCATGTGTGTGTGTCTTCCTTCAGTTTCAAAGTAAACCGTAAAACGAAAACCAAAAAATCTGATGATCACACTTCTGCTAATAATTGAAAAAGTATCACTTTTAACCAATGTGCAAAGAAAGTGCTTGTCAACTGATACCTTTCTGGGGTGTGAGACATGCACAGGAAACCTTATTTTTTTATTACTCTGAAATTCAGGCAGTACATTTTATTTTCTTCATTCTTCAGTGAGCACTGACCTTCACTTCTCTTAGATTTAATGGTCATTCAGATACGTTCAGTAAGAATCATCTTTCTGTGAGTTTATTGTGGAGTTACGCATGTGCGTTTATGTATAACAAACTCAATAGTGCCTTTTCCTACACCTCCTTGGAAGGTTGTCTCTTTCTTCCCACAGAGCCTCATCTTGTGTCTTTATTTTTCCAAAGCCGTTAGAGGTTTTATAAAGCTATTTGCCAGATTCTATGCCCTGATTCCAAATCCTCCTCAGCCGATCCTGCTGGTTCTCCAGCAATAGACACGCTCATCGTCTTGCGATAATTCCAGGTTCTGGATTCTTCTGTAGTGTGGATGATCTGGCTGTACATTTCTTTTTAAGAATACCCTGACATTTTCCCCTTTACAGCTTGAGAGATACATCAAAAAGTAGAATTATTGGTACCACTTTACAATACGGCTCCCTTTTGCCAAGTACATTATTATTGCCTATCGATGATTTATGAAGTGTTGCAACCTAATTACTAACCAGATTATAAGTCATTCATAAACCCTTTATAAGGGTAGTCTTATTGTAAAGTGGTACCAAATTAACAATGATAAGCATAATAATAATAATAATAATAATAGTAATAGTCATATACATATTATTATTTACAGTAATAAAAAAAAACATGTAAGAAGACCCGTCACATGTAACAATTTGCATAACAGATGTAATGGATCTAAAGAGTTTTTGCTGTCTATTTTACAGTATTTATCTTACAATAAATTATTATAAATTGCCACAATTAAATATTTCCACAGTTTAAACTTCCAGTTTTAGGCAGCGTCAGACTGCATATCAGCCCAATACGGCTGCATATTCTATATTTAAATAAAATATATTGATTTGATTGAATTTCCAGTATCTCCCAGTAAAAATCATCGGAGTATAGATAATTCCCTTATCCACATCAATGATGACCCTCTGCTGGGCCTGTGCTCCTGCTGGCCCTTGGTGGGTCCTGCCAGAATCAATTACCCACTTTTGTCAAACGGCCTCTCCTGTTTCCCGCCAGGCCCACGGATGACAGTGGATCGCGGAAGAACCTCAGTCTGTCCATAATTGTTCCCCCAGTTCCACGCTGGAGTCGCACAGACGTGGTACCTGGAGGAGGTGCCCCCCCTCCACCCCTGCCAGCTGCTTGAGACCGCGGTTGCAGTGGAGGAGCATCCCAATTAGCGGAACGTGCCCCATTCACCAGTGCACAGTTGCGTGCCTCTTCACTGGCCGCCAGTATCTCAGTCGCGGGGCAGACCCACGGCTCCGCTGCGCCCTGGGCCGGCCTGGACACCTTTACCATCGGCTTGCGTAAAAATGGACGGTCAGAGACCATCCAGCGTCTATAAGATACAGAAAAGTCACAGAAATGACTCCCGTGAGCTTCCCGTTTTGTGGACTTAATCACACACACATAAGCAGATTAAAGCATTAATGCAACAAATTATCCTGTTCAAATTCTAAGAGTAAAAAGTCTAAATTTCCATAAGTAACTAAAGGGTAAGTGTAAATGTTTTTGTTTTAAGTGCCTCTTTAAGTGCTTTACGCAAACTGACATTAAGCTGCGATCTCTGCCCAGGTGTCCCAATCCCAGACCAGCCAGTATGTCATCTGACGGTCATTGGGTGTATTTCAGATACTTCATGCTGTTTTCTGACTAGCGTGGTTCAACCATAAATGTCCAATAAACTATGACTGGTTCCTGTTCATTGCTGGCTAAATAGTTTTTGGTGCTTTTTTATCGTCTGCGCCGGGCCCTTTAACAGACGGTACACTTCCTGATCATTTCTTTGCTTGCTGGCTCTCTGCTGTTTTCTCTCTTTGGCCCAGCCTGAGGGGGCTTTTTGAAAGTCTCGTTCATCTGTGTTTTAACACTCTCTCCCATGGCCTCCCCCTAGCCCCGGTTCCCAAGGAAAAACATGTCACCGTGACCTCTGAACTGCGCCGGGCCACACTCTCCTCTACGGCAGGAAGCGACGCACATGCCAGAACGATTAACTCGCCAGCGGCGTGATCAATGTGACGGGAAGAGGAGGGAAGGCAGAGTCGCCGGGGTTAGGGAGGAGAAACAAGGCGTAAGAACAAGGAGAAAAAACAAGCATTTTGTGGCATCACTGCACTGCTCTTTGGTGGCAAAATCCTCATGGAATTCACTGGAATGTCGTCTAAAATCTAAAACCGTGCCACACAGCGAAGGCTCAGCCTGTCTGCTACTCCTTCCCAGGTATAATAGCTCAACAGCTTGTCCGTCGATCCCTGTCAAGCCTCATTATGAGTTCACCGTGGCGTCGATGGCCAATCCGCCTACTTGCATGTGGTGCCTGAAATCCCCGTGGAGGCAAAATTAGTCGGCGGGTGTTTTTATACTTGGGAAAAAAAATAAGTCCAGAACTCCAAGGTTATTTCCCCCGAGGGGACTCTGTACGAAGGATGTTGAGCTGAAGCTGAAATATATACGGTGACAGGGGCTACCACCTGGCGAGCACATGCAGCGCGTTCTTGAAGATGAGCTTTAATACCCCCGCATTTTTTTTAAACTAAAAATGTAAACATTTGCTACATGTGTTCAGGCTGGAGATCCATTGCCTGTAAAAGGGGAATTTACTGCAGCGACTTTGTGTCTGGTGATAAGGGTCGTCGTAAAGACCTGAAGCTAGAGCCAGCCTTATCCGTGGCACATTCATATGATGTCATTGTTTCTTGAGTGATGTGCGATGCTGCACATCACTTCATTATAATGAAGGTGAAACAAAATTAGAGGAGAAACTGTAAAATGAATGATGTCAGATGATATTTGTAACTAGGCTGAATTCCTCTGGTCAAGGGCTAAAGCGATGGCGGTCAGGCACTGTCACTGTGAGGCCCCGGCCAGCTTGTCCGAACTCCCTCATCTTTCTACGTTGTGATGCTGGACATGCCCAAGGTCTTGGGGGGGGGGAGTCTCTCTCTACCCCCACCAGCCCCAACAAGCAGCATGAGCATGTGTGTAAGCCCCCCCCGCGCATCCCCCCCCAGAGCAGCGGCACCTCCTTGAGCCGCGGCCGTGCCAATTAGTGCCAATCAGGAGCGTGCCCGTGATGTGCCTGTCGGGTGGAGCCTGTGGAAGGGCCCGGTCCCACATCTGGCCATTGCTGCCGCAGCTGTCACGGTGCCGCCCACTAGCAAGCGTTCCTGGCCGGGCCCGGTGCGGCGCAGTGGCTCCCGCTCATGGTTAATTCATGGGGCTCCACGCTGGCCCGTTAGCGCCCCTGCACTTCTGCCCACATCTGATGGTTGGCTGCAGCCCCGAGTTTAAGGCTCCAGATCTTTGCAGAAATGACGCCTGATCGGGTCACTAAATAATGCATTACTGGGGTTTTTGTTATGTAAAAAAGGGCAGGTTTTAGTTGCGGAGTTGGGGCACTAATACCACCTGACAGCCTCCCCCCTAGAATCCCCACAGTGTCGCCGTGACAACCGTGTAGCGCCCGTGATTGACAAGGACAAAAAGGAGAGTAATCTCATTTATGTTTTTGAATTGTCAACCATGGCAATGGGATTTGAAAATGAAAGGCAAACCTATGACTTTGAATGCAAGAGGTAAGGACTTTAACATGGCAACAGTGATTAAAAAACCAGGGGATGTCGCTGGCGGAGGGCGTCATGGTAGGGGATGCGCTCAATCAAACATTTAATTATTTACAATATGAAACAGTTGCTTTCAAGGCTCCTGAAAGTGTTTGAGGGGCAGCCTGTTAGCAGTTACTAAGCTACTTCCCATCAACTCTCACAAGTCAAGATGTATTAATAAGCTGCAGGGGGGTGGGGGGGGCTGCTTTTGTTCAAATGACACGTTACTGGAAGTGGGTGATTTTAAAAGGGGTGATTGAAAGCCTGAGCCCTGGAAGATGCTGACGCTGGAATTAAAGTTACCGCTCGTGTAATTAACCCGGACATCGTCAGCCCGGCTCGGGGCACTGCTGCTCCAAATCCCTCGCTCGGTGGGACGGGTAGCCGGTGACATTGCCCAGATGCAGCCGTACAGAGCCGGTCCACCAGAATGCCAGCAGAGACCGAAGGAGATCATTCTGAACTCAATGTCGGAGTGCGAGTGCGTAAATACTAATGAGTGCATAAACACTAATGAGTGTGTAAGCACACAGAGGGATTGAGAAGGCTTGCTGTGGGTATCACAAGTTGGGAGCTTTGATGAGGAGACCCATGTTCCCAGAGCTGATCCAGACTCAACCTCAAAGCTGACTTCATCTGTTCATTCCCGACAAGGTAGCGAACATTCCAGAGAGACAGTAAATATACATATAATCACGAGGGGCGTTTCCTGTGTCTTCATGGTAAATCGAAATAAAATCACACAGAAATTAGTCTTTAAACACTCCTCCCCTCCGTATGAATGCAGGATCTTTTTTGTCCGTTCCTTAATTCTGCCGTGTCGTGGGTTTGGCATGGCCTGGACAGCTGGGTCTGGGCTCCCTGCTCTGTAAGTCTACTGGAGGGTCTTCACTTGCCGTCTGGGGAATGTTATAAGCCCCCACCTGGACGGAAAAACAGGCAAAGGTGGAGGAGCGGCAGTGCGCGACAGTGAAGGTACATGGGTCTTTTGATATTTGTTTGAGAATCAGTTCCACGACCTCCTTCTATAGGGACATCCTGAAAATTCTCTCACAAGTTTCTTTCATTAAACAAACACACTAAATACCTAACCTAACACCAGCTTGCCTTAAAAAAAATAGAAGCTTCTAAAGGTCTGCACAAAGTAATCATCAAACCGATTAAATAAAAACCTTTTGGATGGTTAGCATCTCAATGAGGGCGGCTGAAATCCCAGCAGTTATGTTTCCGCGTACGAACAGGGCCGATAATTTAAACGTACGTTGCGCACGAAAATGAGATCAGAGATGCTGCTTTGGCCCCAGATGCAAAAAAAAAGGCATTCAGTCAAATTCAACGAAGACACATTCCAGCAGAATTTGCGGAATTAGGGGAGGGGGCGGGGGGTCTGGTGTGGGAATTACGTCTTTGTCCACCAGCATCTGTTCCCAACAGTTTAAAATGCTCACCTACAGTTTCACTTTCTCTCTTTTTTTTTTTTCCTTTGACACAGCCACCCCAACAGAAATAGCCCCTGCTTCTCTGCCGTGAGTACGCTTTCATAGGTGTAATATAGCGGGGATTGAAGAACCTGACACGAGGACCCCTGCAGGAGCTTGATGGCGCCGCGAGTCGGCGAGCAGGTCAGCTGTGCCACAGTTCACTGGGGCTTCATTTCAGGTCCACAGCGGCTGGAGCTCGTGCTGTCTTCTCCATCGCCATCCCGGCAGGATCGGCCTGCGTAAAACGGTTTGCCGTGCAGGACCCATGCCCGCAGCTGCGGGAATAAAAATTCTAACTGGACTCCAACTAAGAGGAGTAACTCATGAGGAGTAAGTAAGGAGTGATCCGTGTGCCAAAAGTCCACCCAGAGAAACCGGCAATCACTTCACTTCGGCCCGACCTTGAGGTCTCGACCGGTGCACAAAGGCTCTGGAAGGTTCCCCTGGAGCTCTTAGTGCGGAAAACAAGAAGGGATACCTGGGAATTCAGCTGGGGGAAAAAAACAATCTGTGCTTATTAGCATGCAGCTTTTCTGACACCGTTTCCAACATGAGAAGAAGAACGGTCATTAAAACAGAAAAAAATGCATGATGTGGGGATATATAAATATCACGTATCCAAACTCACGAACCGGGGACAAGCCAGCGTGCACACTTTAAAAAGGCACTTAAATTACTTACGCTGCTCGCTACTGGGCAAAAATCAGGAGTGTTTTTCAGAGTGCGTGAATCGTGTCACCCCCCACCCCCCACCGCCACTCACTGCTTTTTAAAAAATGCAAAGGTTCAATATGGGCACTCAGCTACTCAATTACTCCCTGCACATTATTGTGGAAGACGATTTCAGAGATGGGGGGGGGGAGCGGAGAGAGGAAGTGATGATACGTAACCACCACGGGTGGGTGACACCCGCGCACTGGCGTCCAAAGGCAACATGGGGGGGTCAGCAATCCAGAAGATCAAATACCTCACTGTGGAAGTTTTATTTTCGCCACTGTTCGGAAAAGTATTAATGCCATAATTAAGCTGGGGCTGGTGGGCGGGGGGGGGGGGGGGGGGATGTGCCCATTATGACGTGTACACAGAAGCAGATGTTGCATGTTTTATTATATTATTATATTTAAAAAAAAAAAGAAGGGTCCACCAGTATGGGTCCACCAGTATGGGTTCACCAGTATGGGTCCACCAGTATGGGTCCACCAGTATGGGTCCACCAGTATGGGTTCACCAGTATGGGTCCACCAGTATGGGCAAATAAGCACCTGTCATGAGCCAAGTGGAGTGTTAAGTGTACAAATTGTGGAGGCAGAGGTAATGTTTCCACAGGGGTGACAGCTTTTGGTCTGGGATACGGTGTGGTCATGCCGCCATGGCCGGGGGGGCGGGAGCTACGGCAACGATTATTTACTGCCTGTCTGCCTCATTTCCCCAAATCCGTCCTGGCATTATGGGTCGATTTCCCCTCGTGCCGCCGCTGAGGGGGGCCGGCGTGGTGAAACAATGTGGGCCGCGGCCTTTTAGATCATCCCTCTGCTGCGCCAGCCTCCCGCCGCCCGCGGTCCGCCACGTCACGCTGCCTCGCCGCTGCCGTACATTAATATCGCAGGAAGAGCCGGGTC